GAACGTCAAAACCATTTATGAGTGAATGGGAAGATGACGTTGTTTTCAGGTCTAACATTAATTTTCTACATAAAATTCTTTTGAATTTTTTCAATAAAAATTATTGTGGGAATTTAATTTAATTCTAAATTCAAATTTTGGGTTCCTAAGTAGTTTCCTAAAATTTGTAATTGTGAGAATTTAATTTAATTCTAAATTTAATTTTTAGGTTCCTAAGTGGTTTCCTAAAATTTGTACCTCTTTTTATTTATTTATTAAACTATTTAATTTGATTTATATATTTTTATATATATTTCAAATAGTTTACATAATAAGTACCTTTTGTTTCTTTGTTTTGGTTAAGTTTATTTGACTTGGTCAAACCAATGGTTGTTTTTCCAAATTCGTGTGGTAAAGCTGATTCCAAAAGTTGCTAACGGTCAGATTCGGTTTTTATAAACTACTATGAATCTGTTTGAAATTTTCAAAATAGTTTCCGTTACACTTATTGCACCTGTTCAGCCTTGTAGCGCCTATTCGGGCTGTGTAATTTTGCCTATATATACTGCCATGTTTTCTGCAGTCTAGACCCCAAAAAATTCAGTCTGAAACGGTCTTATTGCTGTCCAGATTTTATTGTGTGCATTTTTCTTCATTTTAGTTTTAGAATAAAATTCAGAGAGTAAGAACACAAGGTTCTAGTTCGCCGAACAAATTGTTTGGAGTACTACTACAATTTGTGAAGATCATTGTATCCTGAGAGATAGACGCCACTCAACCGTAAGTACCGTAGCGGGGCGAATCTGTCTTAAGGACAGAGTGTCACACACTCGACTTGGTCTTAAGTTATTTATTCGGTTCAACGAAATAAATTCGGTATGTTATTTATTTATTTTGTTTAAATTATTTCAAGTTATTTTATTTACACAGAAGATTGTTCCAACACCACATACCCCAGTCCATCTCCGGTCACATTCGCCGCCCGAATCGGCTTCACTGTTAAGCTCAACGACGAAAAGAACGGCACGTAGAACAAGTCCGCCTCGGCCGGGTCCAAAACCCTAGTCACCGGCGAACCGGTCCGGTCCGGCCGGTTCAAATCAGCGAACAAGTACCACTCGGCCCGGTGCTGATGTCCCGGGTACTTCAACATCGAGACATCATCTACCGGACCTTTCAGACCCCCTCGAGCCATTGCGAAGATTTCTATAACCCCGTAAGTGAATTTTCTCGGAAGATCATACATGTAGACCTTCACGGGGGAAGAATTCCCGGGAAAAACGATGGCATTTTCTCGGGAAACAAACAGAGTGTCGGCGGAATTGAGTTTCGTGTTGAAAAAAGCATAGAAAGCTAAGAGGAGGAAAACTATGACAAGGGTTGGCTTGTTGATCGATTTGCGAACCATTTTGGAAGCTTGGGTTAGTGTTTTGACATGTGAGTGTTGTTTTTGAGTTGCTTTGGTTTTGGTTCTCTGGTTGATCATTTGCTTGCTTTTGGTGTTCTTCGGCGCGCAAAGTTATAATGTGCGCTGGGTTGAGTGTGGAAGAGAGAGTTATATGTGCTATTGCCACGAAAGAAAATTCTTTTACCAGACTACAAGCAATTGTGATTATTAGAAGTTGACAATCCAAACGTAGGAGGTGTTTGGTAGGAATTGTACAAGCAGTTTATAGTTATTTTAATTTGAACGTTTGTGTCAAATTATTTGCTATAGTTTTTACTTATAATTTATTAAGTAAAAATAATTTAAATAAATTAAAAAAAGTTAATTTTTCAGAAGCTCGGTGGGTATTTTTAACTTCTACTTTTGATTATTAGTTTTTAACTTAAAATAATTTTCACCAAACATCCTCTGAGAAGCAAAAGTATCTTTTAGCCAATTTTTTTAATTTTTTATATAGAAAAAATTGTATCAAATAGTCTAGTATAAATTTTTAAAATAAAAAAATTATAAATAATAACTTAAATAAAGGGAAAATTAGTCTAGGGTCCTTCTTCCACTTTTCATAATGGAAGAGATCCACAAAATTATTTTTTGATGTCTAAGATCCCTGAACATATCATAGAGAAATTTAACCTTACCAAATCAAAACTCATGTCTCTCTCTCTCTAAACTTCTCCATTCTCCAGCCGATTGAGCTCTATGATCTATATATATATTGTGGGTGTGATCTGATTGGGCGGCTCTACGATCTCGTGCTCTTTTTCTCTCATCTTCGTCGTATTCTATCTATTCTGTTATTCATCAATGGAAGCTAGGGTTTAACACTGGCGAAGATGGAGTCGAAGGAGGTGTGTGGTGGGAGTATGATCAGAGCATTCTCATTCTGATTCGGATTGTCCTTTTGTTACTCCAATCCTAGAGCCGCAGTCACAGCAGCAGCAGAAAGCCCCCAAGAAGAGGGGGAGAAGCATCGTCTCTGATCGGAATTGTGGCACAATGAAGCTGATAGATGGAGATTAATCAAATCAGATTCCATTTCACACACCAAATAAAAGTCAGCCTCTCTGCAGATTAGACGATTCAACAGAGCTCCAATGAGGTTGTAAATATATATATATATATATATATATAGAGAGAGAGAGAGAGAGAGAGAGAAATGGTTTGGGGTAGTGGTGAAGAAAACATGTAGAAGGATGAAGATAAAGTTGTTCATGATGACAATCAGGTCCGTAATCAGCAAGAACATCCCATATTGCAAACAATTTCTACAATTTTGACAATTCCCCAGGTTATTTGGAAAATCACTTGAGGAGAATTCACATTTTTCCAAAGCTTAAATTTTGCTCAAACAAAACACTGTATTTTTCTGAATATTAACCGAACTACAAGTTATTTCGTAACACAATTGTTGATGAATCATCGATTTTCTACAACATTTTTGGGAATTCACACATGCCTGGGATTCTCATCAGTATCAGTTCCAACATATGTCTTCCAGAACCAATGGTTTTGAAACAAAAAATGTATCTCTTCAATTGGAACTTGCTTTGTTTTAGGCAAGAGGAAAAAGATGAAGTTGCTCATGATGAGGATTTCTCTCCAAAGAAAATTCCATCTACAGAATTTCTCTGGACTTCCTAGAGAATTTCTCTCCAGAGAAATTCTGGGAATGTCAGAGAAATTCTCTAGTTTTCACAAGAAATAAGAATACAAATCCAGATTTACCCTGAAATTTGGGTTGATTTACGTTCGGGGATCTAACAGAAGCAACATTAATGTGATGTTTGAGGATTGGATTGATCCTCTATTGGTTGAGGATTGGATTGACCCTCTCTTTCTTTCTCTATTTAATGTGTTTGTGTGTGCATTGTTTTTCTCTGGTTTGGAGTCAAGAGAAATTTTAAATTTCTCTGAGAGAAAACTAAAGAAATTTGCAAATCAGAGAAATTTGAAGAGAATTAGACCAGAGAATTTCTCTGGACTCAGCCAATGCATTAGAAAAATGCTGAGAAATTGTAGGAAGAATTGGGCCAGAGAAATTCTGAGAAATTCAGAATTGCTGTAGACTTTCCAGAGAAATTTGGTCCAGAGAAATTTTAAATTTCTCTGGGACAGAATTTCTCTGGACGAATTTTCTCTGGACTGAAATTTCTCTGGACTGAAATTTCTTTGGATCAAGATTGAGGGACCTTAGACATTATGACAATATTTGGTGTCCTTTATGCTATAAAATCATAATATTAGGGACCTTAAAAAAAAAGCCCCTTAAATAAACTACACCAAATATTATAAGGTCTTAATTTGATTTTTAAATTTGTTAATTTCTAATAAAAATCTGACAAACTCCGCTCCTGTTAGTCACATTGATGAGTTGTTAAATTAATTATTTTATAATTTTAAATTTTAAAGTATTATCACATTCAATATATATATATTTTTTATAGAATTTATATTTTTAAATTTATTTGTCAGTATTTATCAAATTAGATCTATGTTATATATCAAACTATGTAAAAAAAAATCACAAATTTTGTATGAAATTTTTTTAATACAAAATTTCTTATTGAATATTAGTTTTTCTTAATAAATTTTTTCGAAGAGAATAAATAGTATAAAGTTTATGAAAAACGGATATGCTGAATAAAAATTGTGAATTTTGAAATAAATGAAAAAGTAACTTCCTAATCTCTTATTAATGTTTTGTGCAACAATAATTCACGTATGAAATTTAAAGGGTTTAAAAATATTTTATGATACCTAATTCATACAATAAAATCACATTAATTCATATAATAGACTTGGAAATATATTTTCTTTTAATGATTGAAATGAATGAAATGGCATGACATTTATTCATTGTAAACACAATATTCTCTCTCTACACACAATATCTCTATCAGTAATCATATATCATCATCAATGATTAAAGAAATGATGGTATGCAATGGAGCATGAAGTTGAAAACAATTGAAATTTCTCTTTCCCATTGTGATATGAATATTCTTTAATATTTGAAAACAATTGACAGAATAAATTGGAATAACATTTATTTCTTATGCATAAAATGTTTCCCTCTTCTATTGTCATGTCAATGTTAAGGATTAAAGGAATGATGGAACATAATGGAACGCAAAATTCTTGGGAATTATAATGTGTTATTTATCAAATTTAAATGATTTGAGCTCTTATTTTTCAAATTAAACTAAGTTTTGTCTTTTAATCAAATGTGATCGATTATATGAATTATTTTTTATTATTCTACTCTATCAATGATTGTATGTACTTATTATTGCATACTGAATTGTGCTCGTTAGCATTACTTGTAATAGTTTGAGATTCAACATTCTCGGACATCCATTCCTTTGGTTATCAAAAAAAGGTTAACTTTTCAAAAAAAAGAAAATCATTAATATTTTGATCATGACTGGGTTTTTACCATTATCACATTAGTTTTATGCTGTGTTTGGTTAGAAGATTTGGGGAGGGGTTTGGAAAGGAAAAGAGAAAGGTGTATGAAATTATGTGAAATTTAGGCATATTTTATTCTCATTTCACCTACCTTTTCCATTTCTCTTTCCAAATCCCTCTTCAAATCTCCCAACCAAACACAGTATTAATGTCGCAATTATACATAGAAAATATTTTCTACGAAATTTGTTTCCACTGGAACAAATAAAACATTAGTAGAAGTCTTAAGTCTGCAGTCAAAAGTCTAAAACTTCACCTCAAAAAAGCCACTATTGCCATGGATTTCAGTAATGTGAAGAGCATTTCTGCATTAGGATCATGGCAAAAAGAAAACTGACACAAAAAGAAAAAGAAAAAGAAAGAGACTACAAGAACAGGTTCATCATAACATATAATATTAGTTCAAAACACAAATGTCAAACTGAAATAAAACAAAAATGATCCATACAGGGCCATCTACTTTACCAAAACATCTCAAAGCCTCACAACAAGCTGTCTGCTTTTGTAGGCAACCTTTTGAAGAAGTTAAAAAGGGACGAATGGAACTTATCACGAAACTTTGGATGCCTCAAAACATATAATATCAGAAGAACACATAGCCCTTGGATGGGAGTGAACAAAAGCACCACAGCCGCAACCAAACAGGATATCATAAACAGAGCTCTGGCTCTCGGATCACGCCAGCTCAGCAAAGAATGAAACCTCTCCCCTTGAGTTGCCAAATCCCCAACCACTGTCTGCATCCTTGCTGCAATACATCTCAGCCTGTCGTACCTCGTCTTCAAAACATCAGCTTGCCTAGAAGACGAAAATGAATCAAACTCTTTATCTAATTCATCAACAGTCGCTGTATCAGCGTGAGAGAGCCTCGCGTCCATGTGAGGAGGGTGTCTCGGCCTCTTCCTATAGTTCAAAAGCCCCACCAAAAAAAGGGATAGTAAAATTGTAGTGAAAATCATTTTTGGGTAGATGATTATTATCAAGAACCATATGTGGATGAACACCGTCTTGAAAGGGTTTTTCCACAAGCGTATTTCATCAAACCATCTATTTACTGTAGCAAGGCCAGACAAAACATCGATAATCCTACAAATATTGGCTTTGCTTTTTCGCATACTCCACATGTGTGAGCCTACGTCAAGCATGTACTCAACAACCTCTTTTCTCAATGGAGGCTCAGCCCGGCTCATCCTCATTGCGATGATTTGAGTTGCCTGCTGCCTTGAGCTATCTTGCTGAAAAACCGACAGTGGGTGAAGATAATGCATTTTTGGCAAAAGGGTCTGTGCATACAATTGGAGCATATTGTACAAAGATGAGTAAGTAAACCTCACAGCTAATTGAATCTCTCCCATCTTCTTCACCCCATTGGAATGTAAGATTATGAGCGGATATGAATGTGTGTAAACGCGATCACTTTCAAGCATTGATAACCGAATCCTCACTTTCCCAATTCTTGCATCCTTCGCTCCATCCTTAACTTGCAAATGACAGTTATCAAATACAACAATTGTAATGGCAGTGCAATGATCAAAAACTTCCCATGTGTATTGCTCGTTCCATTTTGGATTGAAACTGTCTATGATTGT